CCGAGCGGCTTTGGAGAGAGCTGGAAGGCGGCGCTCAGCGCGGAACTCGGGAGGCGCTACTTTAGATCAGTAAGTGACCAGCACATGAAAAACTACTGACATTTGAAACTTTCTAAAATGTAGAGTAACACAGCAGAGTTTCTCTTTCGCAGTTAATGTCATTTGTTGCTGAGGAGATGCAAAAGCACACCATCTACCCTCCTCCAGATGAGGTTTTTACCTGGACACAAGCATGTGGCATAAAAGATGTGAGTGGGATGTCATGCTCTCATGCAAGGCAGGTGGGGTTGCCAACTTCAGAAAAGGAAGATACAGGACAATATATGTAAGGAACATATGAAAATTAGATGAAAACTCGTATTTTTAAATTAAAGACAACTTATAGATTTTATACGGGCTACACTTTTTTTTTTACTGGTCATTTTGTGTTTCAAGAATAAGGTCCAAGGTTAAGAATACGCTAGAAGTTACTTAAATGTAAAATGTTTTTCTCTATTTAAAAACATTACTATAGTGAAAGACTTCTCTTATTGATCACGGCTCAGGTAGATTGCATGTTTTCTTGACCGGCTGCATGTTGGACTCATGAAAACTAATAACGTTGTTTGCATTCGCCAAATCTGATTTGCTGAAGCCAAAACACGGGCGGTGAAGGGAATTGGCGTTAGTGTGACCACCGCCTGCTGTAAAGCGTGAGCGACCAGCCAGCAGAGGATAACAACAGACAACAGATGCTGTCCAACTTCACCCAGAAATGAAAGTTTACATTATGTACTCGCCCTCACGTTGTTCCAAACCTGCATGACTGACTTTCTCCTGTGAGACATAAAAGAAGATCTGCAGAAGACAGTCATCCTCCATGTCTGGAACAATGTAAGGGTAGTTAAGTGAAGTAGGTCAGGATTCTTATTTTTGGGTGAAATATCCCTTTAACAGAACTCTTGGGCGTGTGCTTTATATTATACATCTGTATGATTGTCTAATTCTAAAAATTGATACACGCATTCTAAAATGACAGTTAAGTTCATCAATCATGAAACGAATTAAATTCAGGTATAAAGTGTCTCTACAGAAGACAATGGTGGCTCAATTCAGATAGTGTCACTGTTAGCACACTGAACTTTTCTGAAATAATTGTTTCTCATCATTTTCTTATTTATGACTGTTAATTGTCCACTCAAGTGCTTTCTAGAACAAGAATTAGACAAATCGCTGGTCATGTATGACTCTGGCTCTGCAGGTGCACATGCTTACATATCAGCAGCTGCATCTGAAACCAGTCAGTAAATGCTACTTATGCACTGTTTGGTTGTTCGGGACACTCTGGAGCGTGGCCTAGAGTCATTTATTTCATTAACTGTTTGTACAAAACTATACTCAAAACATGCCAAGGTGTTTATTTGCTCTTAAAATACAGCATGGTTTTCTAAGAGTGTTGTAATCATTTTTTCTTGTGATGGCAGGTGAAGGTTGTGATACTTGGCCAGGATCCTTATCATGGACCTAACCAGGCTCACGGGCTTT